AAAGGGATTCTTTGTTTTGGGCTAAGCTGTAACGGTAGTGTCTTTGTATCTTTGTATTTTTTCCTTTCTTGAAGTTCTTTGTGACTTTTGGAAGATAAGTGTGTTTGTCTTCCACTTGTAAATTTTCTACTGATGAATTAATGAAAGTGTTATTGATCAAAAAAAAAAAAAGTAGTTCGTGAAAGTGTTCAAGAAGGCAGTCTGGGTGTTGGTAATGTAGGTAAGAAATGAAGAATATGGCTCTACTAGGGAAATGGTTGTGGAGATGGCCATTGGTGAAGGAGAGATTGTGGATGAGGTTATGGCTAGTATACATGGTAAGTTGGGAACTTGATGGGATGTAGGTGTACCACATTGGGCTACTTTGGTGTCATCACAGAAGGCTATTCATAACATCCTTCATCAATTACTCAGTCATGATATTTGTTCTAGAGATTTAGTTAGGTTTTGGGAAGATGTTTGGGTTGGCTCCTCTCCACAAAAGGGCATTTTTCCTTCCTTGTGCTATGTTACTTTGTACAAAAAATGAGTTTTTTTTTTTAATTCATTGCTCTTTCATTACTTCCTGTGGGTTGTGGATCACAATTGGTAAGTTGGGTTCTGAAGAGGTCTACTGAATGATGAATTAGTGCCCTAACAGTAGGGCTATCAATGGGCCAGGTCCACCCATGGACCCAAACTGACTAAACCAATTATACCAGTTCGGGTTCCATGAGAAAGGAGATCAGCAAATGCCTAAGCCAAGCATGGGATGAATAGAAATCAATTGTACTAGACATGTACTTTGTATTTGTTGGAGAGGAAGCATCTAATGCCTCTCTTCTATTATGGTGTTGATTTAATAATAGTTCAAGGTACTTATTAAAAAAAATTGCTACTGTTACTGTCGCAAGAAAAAAGAAAGAACAAAAATGCATTGACCTAGAGGATCAACAAGAACTATTACTACCAGCTGATACAACAAAAGTGCTGCAATGTTTGAACATAAATGTACATCTGAAGCAGAAGTCATCAGTATGGTGGTTGGAACACTTGCAGATTGGTTGTCTATTCATAATGTATTTATAAGATGACATTTTTGTTGTTTCTTTTTTGAGGTCCTTATATGGATTATACATGTACAGCAACACATTGTACAAAGGATCATATGCTTTTGGTTCAATAAAGTGCCAAAAGAGCTGTGGAATGAAATCCAAATATTCATTTCTTGGCATTCTTCCTCTCTTTTTTTTTTTCATTAAGTCAATCTACCAACTTGGCACCTTGATCATGGTTATGAAATTCCAATATATAGTCCAATCGGGCCACTTATATTCTAATGCCAACTGTGTTTGCTTGTTTGTAAGTTCTGTTTCTTTTCTTTTTTAAGTAGATAAATAATACATTTAGGTGTAATAGAGGTTGAATCTGATCTGTACTTTCAAGATATTCCTTGTCAGTTTGTTTGAGGTCCAGGGAGATTCTTCCAACATCACCGATACATGATCTTTAGTAAGTTCATGATAATTGATAAAGGTCAGTTTGGAGGTGATATGAAAATGGTTTGACAAAGTGATTAGAATAAAGCAGATCACTTTCTTGAAAAGTTCAAGATTCTTTAGAATTCATTCTCAGATTCCTTGAGGTCAAAGAAGAGACCACAGTCCATATCAGTTTCAAAATGAAAATTGAAATAATAGTAAAATATAAGAGTACAGCCTATTAACATATGGTTAGACCCCCTATATAGATGGCCTGCTCATAACCCCCTCTCCTTTTAAGCCATTGGCTGGTGCATCTTTTAGCACTCATATGCCAAAACATTTGCCAACTTCCCATTCTAGGATAACAATATCAAGAGGGGATCCACATAAAAATAATAAGAATAACATTTTTTTATCAATAACAACATTACATTAATTAATCACAAGAGTAATTACATGGAGGAAGATAAACTTTCTTATCTTCCAATTGGAGCTTGAGCTCCCAAGAATAGAAAATTGAGAAAATTACACTTGTGCCCAAAACAATGACTCCCTCCCGACTCCCTACTTAGCTAACCCATTAGCAACTGATCTTTTCGCCCAACTGATCTTAACTTCCATCTCTTGAACCAGCCACCTGAATTTCCTCCTCTCATTATTGTACATCCATAACCTGCCATCTTCTTTATTTAGCCACCCTACCACCACCTCCGAGTCCCCTCCAATGATGAGTTTTCTTATATTCATCTCCTTAGCTCTTTGGACTCCTTTCAAAACTGCTAAGATCTCAGCCTTGAGAGAGTCACCCACTCCAATTGGGCCTGAAAACATGGATGAAACAAACCCATTCTCATCCCTAAACACACCTCCAATCCCTAATTGCCCAGGATTCCCCCAGTTACTCCCATCAAAGTTTAGTTTTAAAAAACCAGCCAGTGGGGGGTCCAAGACACACTCAATACTGTTTTTGGTCTGGGTGCAATTAGCAATCTCACCCCACTTCCTCAACAAGTCATCCACTGTGAAGTCTATAAACAACTTTGACAATTTCAGCCACTATACTACCCTTATATGGATCAGTCCTCTCAGTACTTCATTGCCTCTCTCTACTTCAGAGAAGATCCTGGAATTTCTTTCCTCCCACAAAGCCCAGCATAATGCAGCCCTCAAACATCTCCACATGGACCTTCCCCTTTTCAATCAGCACCTGAAGAAGGCAGGGGAAAAAAAGCATTGCAAATTTGATGGAGGATCCCATCTACACCCAAAGAGGGATAATGCCCACACCCAAATGGACTTGGCAAACTGGCAAGTCATCAATCTCCCCATCCGCTTTACAAAGAACACACCTGTGAGGAGATAAACATGTCTTGGGTCTCTTTTTTTGGAGCATATCACCAGCATTGATTCTTCCCAAAAAAGCTTCCCAACAAAAACTACCAACTCTAGGGGGAATTGGTCTGCACCAAACCACATTAACCGGGAAGGGAGGGGCAGCAAGACTAGGGGGCTGACTAAAGACTTTGAAAAAAGAGGCACAAGAAAATGAGCCAGTGGGGGTGGGGGTCCAAATTCTAGAATCCAACTTAGTAGGGTCCAAGAAAACATTATCAAGGATACCAAGGAGGCTCAAGATACTATCCAAGTCTATATCTCTCATAGCCCTTCTCAAACCCAATTTCCACCCAAACCCAGAAGAGAAAGATGAAGGGGTAATGGAAGAAGAAACTAGCTCATTTTTTAATTCAAAAAGGGCATACAAAGAAGGAAACAGGTCCTTAAGAGGGTCATTCCCCACCCAAGTTTGTTCCTAGAATTTTTTGGAGTTACTTGAGTTCAAATCATACCTGATAAGAGGGGAGAAAGATGGAAGCAAATCATGAATGGCTTTCCAAGGTGAGGCACTTGTGGTCCTAGCTTGGATCCCAGCATCCCATCCATTTTGCTCTAGTCCATGTATGCTTACCACAACTTTAGCCCAGAGTCTCTCCTTTTCTATTGGGAGTCTCCACAACCATTTCCCTAGAAGAGCCAAATTCCTTTTCCTAAGGTTCCCAAGCCCCAAGCCACTTAGATTTTTGCTTCTGGTCACAACCTCCCAACTCACCCTATGGTCCCTTTTCTCCTCACCCGGCTCCCATAGGAAATCTCTCATCATCTTCTCCAATCTGTTAGCTACCTTTGCTAGGATTTTGAACACTGAAAGGAAATAAATAGGTAAGTTAGCTAAAGTAGCCTTAATCAGTGTAATCCTCCCTCCAAGTGAAAGGTAATTCTTCTTCCAAGAGGCAAGTCTCCTTTCAAATCTTTCCACCACCGGGTTCTAGAAACCCTCTTTCTTTGGGTTATCACCCAAAGGCATCCCTAGATTCAATTGATCAGAAAATCTTGATAGTTCTTTTTGGTAATAAATAAAAAAAAATATTGACAAGAGAAACAAAAGTACATTAGGAGGGTGATGAGAGATCATCAAAAGAGAATATACAAAGCAAAACAGAAAAGATGAACAGAACTTTTACAAGAGAAACAAGAGAAAAAATAGTTCAATTCAAGAGGTCTCCAGAAACCAACGCCAAGGAGTTGTGTCATATTTGTTAAGATTTAGGATCTAGATGATAAGGGATGCCATCTTGCTAGCCAAAGAGGTTACAAATATGTTGGCACATTGTATTTGGATTCTTGGAGAACACATCCCTAATAATGAATTATATTATACCATAATGTCTAAGGGCATTTACTTTACAAGTAGAACCAAGCCAAAGAGAAGAGATACTTCCACATTCAACCCATCCAACAGCTAAGGATTTTCAAATAACCATAAATCATTGATGGCATGCCCCTTAAATCAAGCATGCATGTCATCAAAACCGATTGCAAAAATAGTTCATTACTACATGGTATCTAATCCAAAAGTTCACACCATATCTAAACATCATTAAGGAAAATCAACATACCCTAGGAATAACATCATCCCTGGATTTCACAACTAGTCCTAGTAAACCTACCCCTTAAATTGCACCTTTTCCTTACCTGTGAAACCTACAAATTCTTGGAGCTCATTTATCATACATGTTAATACACGGATAAGGATCTCGCATATACAGATGCATAATTTGGAAAAACAGACAGAAATAAAATAACAAATAAAGCTAAAATATCAATTTCCGATGCATAGATTTGACACATCAAGAATTACTGATCTTACCAGAGCTGCAAGCGGACTGTTCTATCTTCAAGGTACATTGTCTTTGATAGAAAGTCAATACCAATTGTAGCCTGATCATCAAGTTACAACAGAACTAAATTTGGTTAGATGAATAAGAAAAAACACTGCATAAAAGCTAAAAAGCTTTTGTTTGCTAGAAAGTCAATAACAAGCATGAACTGATCATCTAGTTATCAACTTGTAATGTAAGTGAGCTCAGGTAGAATAAATGAAACAAACCCATAGTATAATGCTAAAAGTTTGTACTTTTGCTACATAAAGCTGTAAAAAACCCAATGCACTAGTACAACAATTCTGCAATGAAAAATGGACATAGCATGAAAGACCTATGCAAGCATCCAGGTGTTACAGTTTTCACTATGACTAGCCATACAATACCAGCTCCCCCTCATTACAAATGGTGGGAAATGCCAATGAGTTGGAACTAAAAAGCTTGTGTGATTTTTTTTTTTTTTGATAAGTGGTAAAAAGATTGGGCCTTAAACAATTTTTTTTTGGTAAAATATAAGGGAGCTAAATACAATGGGGGGTTTTTTCTACACTGTATGTTTTTCTTAGCCTAGGATAACAATCACCTTCCAGAAAACATAACAGAGGCAGTGGGTTTTTCTCTACACTTTAGGTTTTTCTAAGCACCATCATTTCTTTTTAATAAGAGAGCTTTCCCAATTTGTGCCTACTATAACCCACTATTGCATTGACAGGACATGGGAAATTGGAATCCAACGCCTGTCCAAGAGTCTGACTAGGAAGACTATAAAACTTGGACTTATAGGTACATCTAAAGAAAAATATATACTATAAAATGGTTCATAATTTGGAACTTCTAACGTTAAATACATCTAAAAAAGGGTCTAAAATGTTATCATTGTTAATAATTAACCTTTTGTTGGAAAAAATGGCAGTCATCATGTAAACGAACTATTCACCCGCGTAAAATAAGTAGAAGAAAAAGGAAAATGTTAGTAGAAGTGTCGATCAAGAATCCATAGACTGTCGGAATCTGATCCATAGGAGCAGGTTTCGTTAGTGAACCAATTGCCACATCATATAACAAAAATGCAGGGAAAACATTACATCATATGCAGTGACCCAGAACTTCAACCAGAGTCTACCCTGATACGAAGGATTCCTTTTACTACTTTGCAAATGATAGCATTCACTAATAAATCGTAATCCAAAACAGGACCGTCCTTCCAACCTAACTTCATGATCAAGAAAGAAAACAAAATAAGAAGAATTAAAAGACTTATATCATAATCAATTTATCAACCAGAAGTGAAACGGACTCCAACAATTCGAGGTCCATATCAGCCAAAATCAACGAAAAATATCATCAACAACAGAAATAGATGAGTAAAAGTGCGACACGGATCAAGATCCTACCATTCCTGAAAACCTAAACCATTCATTCAACACCAAAACAACATACGAATAATGAAAAAAAGAAAAAACAGCATGGCACCAATAGATCTGTCATTCCGAAGAAACTCCTAATATGATCTCCATCATAGAAACAGAATAAAAATTAAATTTTCAAAGATCTATTACATGGCGATCTATTTCTCTCAGTCTTACCTGGTATGTGTTATCGAATTTATCGTACATGAAGCGAGTGATGATACTTGTCTTCCCAACGGATTGATCCCCCAAGAACACAAGCTTGTACTTTGCGAGAGCAGAAACTGGAGCCATTACAGAGATCTGTCTCGACAAACCTGAGAAACCAAACAAAGAATCTAAATCGGGATCACCAACCGCCTATTGAAATCTCGCCGGAAAACCTACGGGAATGTCGCCGGAAAATTCGAGGAGATGCCTATGCAATCAAAGAAAAGTTCGATTTGGTCCTGCTCTACTTCACCCTCAGAGGGATCCGGCTCGAAGAAGGATGTATCGAAATATAGATAGATGACTTGTCACATTGTTTTTAATGTGTTTCCAGCTTTCCGCGTTAGATGGTTTAAAGAGATTTCGTAGAAAACTTGTTTGCGCCGATACCATCCGATACGAAATAAGTCAATAACTTATAACTTGCGCATTTTCTTCGTTTCGTCTCTTATCGTAACGGTTATTTCTCAATCATTTCTTCTTCGGTCTTTTTTTTTTGTCTTTTTTCAAAAGATTCTTGTGCGACTGTTTAAATTCTTTTAAATCCCCATATTACCCTTTTCCAGTGGTTTTTTAGCATTTTTTCGATTTTCATTTGTTATTAGTTTTTTATAAATAAAATAAAATTATAATTAAGAAAGATTAACAAAAGATAGTTCAACCAGTCCGGAGTAATATCCCCGTAACAAAATAAGTCATTAGTTTTAGCCCTTTGAGCTACCAAAGTGAGCAGCATAGGTCTCTTGAGTCTGGATTGAGGTCGAGGTCAAGCTTAATCTTTTCAATCCGAGCCTAGCTCATTGATGCATTTGGGTTGGTCAATAAACTTGTTTTACATTTTATGCAAAGTCCGGGCCCAACCTAAAAAAATAAAGAATCAGGGCCCGAGCCCAATCTAATGATCGAAAATTCAAGTCCAAACCATGTAAAATTTTGAGCTAGGCCAATTTGGGCTCGAATTGGACCCACCCAAGTTGCACCCTTGGTTTGTTGTAATTCCAAATTGTTAGAGATCTGTTTTGGGTTTTTGTTACAATTTTCATTTGTAGAAATTTCTCAAGTGAGTGTTTTGATAACTTTAACTTCTTTATTCAACTTAATGGAGAGGGATGTCTTTATTAGAATCTGAAAGTTTTAGGGGTCTTCTTCATATACCTTATAGCGTATGTTCGGCATCATTGTCGTTGCTCCAGAAAACGGTGGCACATCAGCGTCACGTCAAAAAAAAGAACAATGCTCCAAGAAATGTCTATTTGTTTGGAACCGTTTTTCCATAAAAAAATGGTGCTCCAAGCCATGCCTTAGAAACGAGAAGGCGTGGTTTGGAGTAATGTCAAATTTGACGTTTCTTGGAGGTACAGCCCGTTGCTGCCAACAAGGACATGAGGTGGCAGTGACAAGGACATGATGTGGCACTGGATAATAGGTACCAGTGCTGACTATTGAAAATGTTTCATGGAAAAATTGATAGCAAACTGAAAACGTTGTGGTTGTTTCAAGAAACGTCCTACCTGGCAGCAACATTTCCAAACAAAAAAGAAAAGCACTATTTTCTCAAAAAAGAGAGAAGTCTACATTCTCTCCTTTCATTGCCTTTGGTCAATGATTGAATTTTAGTTTTCCAACTTTATCCTTATAAACCATCGATTCTCCTCCCTCTCTCTATGGTCACTTTCGCTTGTCTCATTTCCCTTTTCTCTCTAAGGTGATGAGATCTTCTAAAACAGTGATGGGATCCATTTTTCTCTGCTCCTCCCTCTCTCGGTTAGGCCTCCCTTAATCCCTCTGCTCTTCCGTCAATCCAATCACTTTCTATCTTTCTGCTCTTGCCCCTCTTCTCTCCATCACTGTTTTGTCTCTTTCTCTTTCTTGACATTCTCCCTCTCTCTCTACTGTGTGTCTTTCCAGCTTAACCCTCTCTTTCCTCTTCTCGCATATTGGTTTCTATCCCTCTTTCCTTCTCTCTCAAACACCTATCTTTCTTTCCCTCTTATAACAAGATACATTGTTTATAAGCACGGAACCAAAGAAGTTGAAACTGGGGTTATAAGCTTCAACTTCGGATTACTAGCTCTTGCCGATCTCAACAAGTAAGAAGTAGATGCCTATGGTGAATTCGGGATTGGTCTATAACCCAATTTGGTTCTGCTGATCTCGGGTTCATTTCCTTGTTAAATTAATATTATTTTCTCTTATGCTAAACCTATATAAGGTTAGTAAAGGTTTTTCGACATTTCCCTTTGGTTCCCTACTTTTTCCTTCAAACCAAACATAACATTAATGAATATGTCTTAGTTCTGAATCAATAATTCACTTCCTCTATTTCCTACTTCAAAGGAAAGTGGTTCATGTGAATGAGAATTTCAAGTGATACTTCTAGTCTGACATTCCCTTGTAAGCGTATTTTAAATTATGTAGTTGACTTATTTTACACTGACATGAAGTTTGTATTAGCTTAATTTGTTGTAATTTAAGTTGAGAAGGTTTGTATCAAATTTTTCATTATCAAAAAGTAGAGTTAGTTTAAATGGGGGTGGGGGGATTTTTAAACTGAATGGTTGTTCTTGTTTCTTGACCTAATTAAATAAATAGCTAGGTGCTTCGGTGCAATACAATAATAACAAGTCCAACAATTTTACATAGACAAGCCAACTTGACATCTATTGATATAAGGGAATCTAATTTTATGGTTTATTTCTTTGGCGGTTAGGTTTTCTTTAATTGGTTTTCTACATGTGTTCCACGTGGTATGAGGACCCTAGCTATGTCGTTTCGGATTTAATACCATAGACATAAATTTTTTAGATTTGTATTAGGACATGATTTCAAATGCCATTGATTTCTTAAACTGAAGTTAATGTGTCATGCTAATAGGTAGCTAAGGAAAATCAGTATGATGTTAGGAACTTCAATTGTTAGATATTTGGAGATTTATGAAGTGTGAATACTTTTTACTTTGTCTTGACAACATTCCACCTGTCCACAATTTGAAGTCTTCCATCAATAGCAAATCGCACTCCAATAATTTCTATATTTTTGCTGCTTTAGTTATTGTTGAAGTGGTGAATTTCAACATTTTTTTTTGTCTTAGCAACTTTTCACCTGTCCACAACTTAAAGTTTTCCATCAATACCAGATCACACTGCGTATTTTGCAACTTTGGGGATGTATAAATTTATTCAAGTTGATGCATTTTACCCATTGGCTATCTAAATAAAAATTTATTGTTTTTTGTTCACATATACAACACCGAGGTTGTTCGCTCCAAGAAATGCTTTAGCCAATCGGATGTATCAATAGAATACCTTTAATTGCGATGCCTTGTGTCAATTTATCACGTGCAATAGCCCATAGAAGACTGAACATTAGCGGAAGTAGTTGAAGAACCAAAGGACTTGAATATTTTTTTTTTCAGATGATTTGATAGTTTGTTATGGGAAAGTTAGTCATGTTTTGTTTACTTGAAAAATATTTACCTATTTTTGTAAAAAAGTTGTTTTCAAGTCCAGCTTCTCTGATTGGATGAATTTCAAAACTCTTCTCCTCTTTTTCTCGATAAGTACAAACCCTACTTGAGTTAGAGGGGGAGAACTTCGAGAAAAATTTAGAAAGAGATGAGAAATCTAAAAAGGGATGAGAGACGGAAAGAAAATTTCCTAATCTCTGAGATGCCCTTAGTCACCTGAAACCCCAAAGCATTTAGAGCTTAAACTTCAAATATGCCACTCTATTTTCAGCTACAAGATATGAAACCAAAAAGCACACCATTCATCCCAGTATCTCATTCAAGTTTCTTTGGACTTGTTCCCGCTATTGCAAAACTCCCATCGAGGTTGCATACGAGAAGTAAGTCTCTCATTTTAACATTTAAACCTAAATTTATAGTCTCTGTTTTTAGTTTAATTATGGATTTCTTGAAGTCCGGAAACCATGGGAAATTTGCATTATTAGTTTCCTCCATATTGAGAAAAAATGGTAGAGATGCAAGTCTTGGGGAAATTAGTACAAGACTCAACAGCATCACTTCAAATCAATTTTGGGTGAAGTTGAGAGCATTTTCGCCTAATTTCAAGAGCTCTGAGCAACTATTTTCAATGGAATTTTGTTAGAAATTGAGCCTTAGCAACTCCCATATTGGGCTGTTATAGTAGCTTTGAAAGAATGGTGCTAACACCTTCCCCCTCCCAATCACTTTGGATTTAGAATCTATTGATTCGGTGCCTTCCTATGAAAAATAGAGTCACTATCAAGGCAAGTAAATCGATTTTTCATATCTAAAAATGAGAGCCCATTTCCTCTAAAAAATGGTGGTGACTCCATTTCTTTAAACCGACCATGAACTTCCCAAAGCCTATACCTATTTTAGTGGCTTCTCCAATAGAACCATGTGAAAGGTGAGCCCCTTCAAACATGTGTAAAGAACACGTTTCTTAATGTTGTGTTATTCATTTTTCAAATCTATACTTAGATTCGTTATTGTTGATGTGACTAGGTTAAATCTTATCTTCCTTAAATGTAATATGTAAAAATAAATATAAGCACAAAAATACATATTGATAACTATATATAAGATATACTAATCTCACTCCAAGACCCTTGATACATGGATACATAGATTGTCAGTTTCTACCTTATGGATAAGAGGTTGTAAAGAAACCACCAAGCTATTAGGAACAAACATCCAAAGCTAATAAATAGTAGATAGACCTTAGTTCTAAGTCATTGTTCCTTCAATTCTAACTCTATCATTAGCTTCAACATCAAAGTGTTCCCATATGAAGTTAGTTGACATTCAAAGCATTAAATTCCATTATGATTACTTGTATTTGCTTCTTTCTTCATAGCAATGGAATGTCCTTATCTCTTCTCAATTCCAACTGTTGGATTTTAATCTCATAAGAGATTAAATCCAATGGGTTTGATTGGTCAATTACATGAGAAATTGCACCTGCACATTTGATTGAAAAATCAGTTTTTCTCTTACAAAACTCAGTTTTGAAGTTGTCCCACATTGGAAAATTATAAGTTTTATTTTCAGTATTTCAATAGGAGTTGATTTACACTCCTTAGAATTAGTAGAAGAGTGTATGGGGATTCAATATTGCGCAACACGCGCGTGTGTGCGGCGCTTTAGAGGCGCACTTTGCTCGCACTCGCGATGGGCGGCTTTGGTTTTGGTGCGTTGCTGACCGTTGATCACTGTTGATGAGATCAATGGTCACGATTCGATCGGGTGTGATCAAGAGGCACAGTTCAAAGTTAACAGTCACTAACTGTTAACTACTTTTTAAACCAATCACAATGTTTGAAGTTGTGACTGTTCAAGGTGCTTTCTCTAAACCAGCACCTACCTTTTCTTCATACCTCTTCACAAATTATTTAAGGAGCATGAATCAAACTCCAAAATACACAATTTCAAAATCCACTCTCTCTCTCTCTCTCTCAGTCCGGTTTGCTATAGTCTCATAGAACGTTTCTTTGGAGACTCTTCAACTTTGCTGGTTACAGATTCTCGCCTAAGGCTCTGTTGTATCTTGGGAACGAATTTACCTGTAACCCAACAGCAAACTCAGTAAAACCGAGTGAGGGCAAATAACATTCTAAAGACAGTGTCTTCAGACACGCCTCAAAGCTTCTCCTCGAAAGTTACAGTGACCCCATTTTCTTCAACACCAACCTCAAAAGAAAGAAAAGAAAAATAATAGGGTTTGTATGTGGAAATGTTATCATTGATCCAATTGTCATCACAGGGATAGGTCCATGTTGAGTTCTATTGAAAGTCCACCATTGAGTTCAACTAAGATATAATAGTCCATGAAAATCATTTATTTTATAGATGTGAAGTTGGCTTCTCTGTGTAAAATAGTTAGGCTTGTTATTATTGCATTGCATTGAAGCACCTAGCTATTTATTTAATTAGGCCAGGAAACAAGAGCAACCTATCAGTTTAAAAATCCCTCAACTCCCATTTGGACTTACTATATACTTTTTGATAACAAAAAATTCCATACGAACTTTCTCAGCTTAAATTACAACAAATTAGCCTAATATAAAACTTCAAATCAGTGTAAAATACTTCAGCTACATATTTAATAGAAGCTTATAGGGGAATGTAAGACCAGAAGTATCACTTGAAATTCTCATTCACATGAACTACTTTCCTGTGAAGCAATAAATAGAGAAAGTGAATTACTATTGGAGAACCAGGACATATTCATTATGAGAAAATAACATGAATTTAACATGGAAATGAACTGGAGATCAGCAGAACCAAATTGGGCTATAGATCCAATCCTAAATTCACCACGAACCTTTGCTTCATGCTTGCTAAGATCGGTGAAAGCTAGTAATCTAGAGTTGAAGCTTATAGTTGCAGTTTCAACTTCGAATTTGTGCTTACTAAGCTCACAATGTATATTGTTGTAAGAGGGAAAGAAAGATAGAGATTTAAGGGAGACAGAAAGAGGAAAATAGAGGGATAGAAACCAATATGCGAGATAGGGAAAGAGAGGGTTGGGATAGAAAGACACATAGGGTCAAGAAAGAAAGAGACAAAACACTGGAGGAGAGAATATGATAAAGTATAAATTAAGAAAATAGATACCATTTTATTTTGAAATTTACTCTTTAAAATTACTTATTTCAAGAATTCATGCCCTCTCATTAGCCCCTATGAAGTAAGGGGCCCCACATGCTAATACAAATAAAAGTTTAGGGGTAATTGCCACTACCCTAAAGCATAAGATTATCTTTAATCTACCATTTTTTATTGGGTTAAAAGAAATTGAGTTACATTTCATTACTTTTCTTGCCTTCCTTCCTTTCCATATCTTTTCTTTCAAACCAAACGCAACTTAACTTGAAATGATTTCTTGCAATCTGATTCCATACAGTAATTTCATAAAACAGAACTGATTAGCAATTTCTTCCATAGAGTAATTTCATAAAACGCAACTTGTCTTTTAAGCGATGTTTAGTTTTATAGAAAATAAGAGAAAAAACAAATAGTTGAGAGGAAGTTTTAAAGAAATTATTTTAGTCCAATCAAACTAGTACTAATTAATTGGTTCCACTAATATACTTGATACATTAAGAGTGAACCAATCGAGCCATTCAACTACATGCCAATTATCACGTACTCTGGCTCGTTAGAGTACAGACTTGGAATCAAATCTCGTTGCCACTAGGGTTGGGCCTTTCCATTGGTCAAAATCCAGCATGCTACTCAAGCCTTAAAAATCAAATCATGCATTTGCCTTGGCCCATGATTTGAATTTGGATGGAGTTGTAATACTATAAATGTTTTAAATATAATGTCTTTTGAAGAACGTTGGAGACCTAAGCATTGTTGCCAATCTATGAACCTACGTATTTGTATCATGTATCTATGCGTATTTGGTTGCGTCTATGTGGGAAATGATATGCCTACTACTTTGGTTATTGCCTAGAGTTTCTTGCATATTGTTTGGACTTGAAGTGTTTGATAGAATCTCAATGTGGGAATCGCATAAAAGCTTTTTAATCATTGCAAGTGTATTGATGGATTTAAACTTTTTCATGGAACTTTGTAATATCATTGGTTAGTTACACCAAAATGGCAACTAGGCCATATTTGGTTTGTTGCCATGAGCTTCATTCTTTCAATTCATACTCATTTTGTGCAAGAATTAATCACATCAGAAAATGCTTGTCATGTGCCTCATTAATTTTATAATGAAAATGAGTTTATAGCATAAAAATTGAGCTAACATGCATCATGAAAAATAATAGTGACTCATATTATTCATTTTCAATCTTTAAGAAAGGCCTTGGTCTTAGAAACCGTCGGCATATTTTTTACCGACGGATGGATGGTAGTTTACCGTAGAAACTTAAGCCAATGAATACTGACCACCAGCCATCCATTGGTAAAATCCAATGCTAATAGTTTTTGAGACCTAAGCTAGCAATTTATAATTGTTGGCAGGAGTTTCTTTAAAAAATGAAAATTGAAGACATGATTTTATGATGTTTTACTATATTTTATGACTTTCTTATAATATATTATCTTTATTGAATATATTATTATTAATTTGATAAAATTATTATTTTTTGTACTTATTAATTTTACATCTATTTTGAAACTCCAAGCTGTTTTCTTTAGTTTTAAATAGACGTTGTTTCAATAAAAAATAAATGAAAATGAAATTTATAACCAAATGGATATAATTATTTTTTCTTGAAAAGATGTGTTTGACTTGTAGCAACATCTTATCATCCTACTCATTTCTACCTATTTTTGTCTATTATAGAATTTTATTATTGAAAAGACGGGAGTTTAACCAAACATGGCTTAATTGTTTCGTTTAGATATTTACAACAAGGCAATATCTATTATGTTGGAAATAGAGATGAGATTTTGTTTTCACAAAATTGGTCCTCACATCGTCCATACAACACACAACACTTGTAATTGTCCATCGGAAATCTCCCCACTTGTATGTTTTCATTCATATGAAGATGTTCCCAATGCATGACTAAGATGATGCGAGGATGAAATCTGGATTTATATTAATGAGTCATTGCATCCTCCTTACAAAACTTACATATCACCCAAACAAACAAGCTTTTAGCCATTCAGGAGGGGGTTCATCTTTGGGATTTGCATGAGCACCCCAGAAAAGGCTCCACACGTGACCCATGACACATCTCAGACATGCATCGGGAATTTCTTCCATTGAGAAGTATGGGAGATGTTCTTAATGCACGCTGAGATGTGAATGTGGGGCGTGCTCTCTTAGGTGCCAACCTAAGCTCTTGTCTTTGGCAATTTGCATGGGCACCCCCTTGCATGTCCCACACATGCCCTACAACACATTTCAACTGTGTATTTGAAACATCTCCCATTGACAAGTATGGAGATGTCCCAAAACCCATGCAAGTTGAGATCTTCCACCAACAAAACATGTTCCAACCTTCTATCAATTTGATCTAACACTACACATCTTACCATGAGACCAAGATCCACCATTAGGAGTGGCAATGGGGCGGGGCAGGTTTTACTCACACCATCCCTGACCCCAAACTCAAATGCCCCCTGAACCTCGATGGGGCTAGAAATCCTAACCCCATCCCCATCTCTACAGGGAACAGGGATCCTTGAATTTGCCTTGCCCTGCCCCACCCCATTGGGGTGGTGGACAAATACCATCCCTGATCCCCAAAGTTTCGTGTTTCCCCTGAATTTGCCCAAGCCCCAATTAGTGGTTAAAAAACCAACCCTGATTGGGGCAAGGTGAGGTAGGGCCCCACAGGGATGGGTCAAATTACCATCCATACCCATCATAAAAGTGGAACTTACTACGCCATGTGAGATTATATTGGTAGGTTGCTGGAATGTATGTTGTTGGTAGGTGATCCAAACTATGCTCAAATGTGCATGTGGTGTCATTTAATGGGACAATAAAATGAATTGGGATTTGCTCCTCACATAGCATGCCTCACACCACCACACTGACTATACAGCCAGGACATGCTATGAGGTCAATGTGAGGCGCTTTGTGAGGAACATATCCAAACTCTAGTAAAATAGAGTTTGTGAATTATGACTGGAACCATAAAAGTGAGACTCGCCTTATGTGTGAGATCACATTGGTAGGTTGTTGGAATGTATATTATTAGTAGGTGATCATGTGCATGTGGGGTCATTTAACGAGACAATAAAATTAATTAGGATCTACTCCTTAGATAGCATGCTTCACATCGACCTTACAATAACATTCCACCCTGTATTAGGAACACCTTCAATAATAAATACAAGTACAATAGATGTTCACAATGTGCGGCTACGACATTTTCTGAAGTGCAGATTCAGACTCCAGTAGCAGTAAAGTAAATAGGTGTTTGTGACTAGAGGGTCAACTGAAGTACTAATTGAACATACTGTTGAGATTTATTGGAAAATGCTGGAGGGTCGAGATTGATTACGCTATACGACTATAATAGTGCGCACAACACACTTACCCTCGAAGGAGAAAAGAGAGACGGTAACGACGGAACCGCGAATTTAACTGCGGTTAACCTTGATACCGTCATTGTCCTCTTCCTTTTCCTGCCTTCGCCCACTCTTCTCTTCTCTGGGATGTCAAACCCTCCTAGAATATAAAGCAAAACACACGCGTCTTCTCTTCGTCGCTCTCCCTTTTCAGGCATCTCGCGCTTTTTTCCTCTCGCCAAACCCTAACCCTAACCAGTCTCACCGTCCATCTCCATTGGCGAAGAGGAAAAATACCCTAATTATAACTCTTTCATCGCCCTAACCCTAATTCAATTACACACAGAGATTAGAGAACGAGGGAGAGCTAGGGTTTTCATCGGAATTCATGGCTGCTCAGACGGTTACAAACAATCTATACGAGGCGGCATCACAGCCTGATACTGGAGGCGACGCCTATACCTTCCTTGAATTCAATACGCAGGGTGACGACTATGATTACCCAGAATTCCGAGAACTATCGCAGCCGATCAGGTCTTCCGTGTGGCCTACACCCTCAGATTCCGTGTCAGACCCTTCAGAGCGTGGGGCTGATATACAGGTCGATGGTAGCGCTGTTTCTTCCGCTCCAGGAAGTGCGTCGAAAGGTAGGGGTGGTAGCAGCAGTGGCAGCAGCAACCAGGCTACGGTGGATGCCATAGCGGCGGGAATGAACGGCCTGAGCTTTGAGGAGACCGGAGAGGATGATAATTACGAGTATGGAAAGGGTGATTTCACGGAACATGCTTGTCGGTACTGTGGGGTCCAGAATCCGGCATGTGTTGTTAGGTGTAACGTGCCTTCATGCCGGAAGTGGTTCTGTAATTCACGGGGGAATACTTCGGGTTCGCATATCGTCAATCACCTGGTACGTGGAATTTCTATATCTAATTCCGCAAATTTTGACGAGATTTTACACTTTAATTTGGTGCTCTTTCTGATTCTCGTTTTCTCTGATCAGTAACTCAAGAATTTTTTTGTTAAGATTAACGAACAACAGGATTTTCGTTTTTTAATTAACGTTATGGAATTAAATGGAGAACCGTACGCATGTGGCTAGTTCATGTTTTAAGGGTGTCTGTAATATCCCGTGGTTGAATGTTCCAATTAGGATTTTATGTTAATCAATTCATTTCATATGGTTAAGTTATTGATATTCTGTATAAGCACAAAATGTTGGAAGGAACTAAAAACTTGATATTTAGTTCGTTTATTTTGAAAAATCAATGTCATGTCCATGTACCCTGCGATTTTCTAGTCAGACATGCCAACATACGACGGCACCCAGATCCATACCCAATATCCATCCTGACAACTATTAAAAAATAAACAGAAAAGGGAAAATAAAGAACAATATTTCGTAGTTGAGAAAAGGGAATGAAGGGAACATTGATCAATCTGGCAGCACTCAGCACTACTTCCCTTGAATTTCCTTTTCTGATCATGTAAAATTTTAAATACTGTCCACCATTTCTACAGCAAAATCTCAAGTGGTCTGTAATTCATCCTTAGAAACTTCTCTATGACATTGAAGGGCTAGATTTTGAGGCTGTCCAAGTTGAAAAGAGAACTTGAACGTGTGGTGAACCAAAGTTTGATTCTCCCTTGACAGTCACCTTAAAAATATGCTGAAAACTCTTTTTTTCGATTCCTACCTTTATATGCATGGCTTAATATGATGTCTTTGATTGCATCTCGCTTTAGAAGAAAACAAGTCAATATTGTCTATTTTAGCTTCCAAAAGAGATAGGAGATATGCAGCAACAGTCTACTTAGCAACCAATATATGACTAAAAAAAGGAGGAAAAAAACTATGTGCTGAGGCTATTGCCAAGCACAGATGAATGTAAAACAACTATTAGCTGCTGTACAAGGGGTGCAATTTGCAATCCAGCTGGGGGTACAACACCTAATAATCGAAGGGGATTCCAAAGTGGTGGTGGGTTAGTTGAAAAATCCTGAAGAGGCTATGTGGCGCTACAAGAATGAAATGAAGAAATTCAGTTGGTTGACAAGGAATATGTTGGTCACTGTACCGTGGGTGGGGAGATCAGCAAATACTTTGTCAGATGTGTTAGCCAAGCATGGGGTAAATAGGGAAGAATTGTTTTGAGCTCAGCTGTGATTCCTGTTTTCTTTCCTAGTTTACTTGTAAGATTCAAGGAGGGGCTGCAGTTCGCGCCTCTCCCTGGGATGTTGTATGAATTCACTCTAAATCAGCTTCTGAATTAATAAGTCTATTATCATTCATCATAAAAAATGTAAAACAACTTAAATTTGTTGAGGAGTCTACCAAGTTAAATATAATTCACAATGTTGAATTAATATAAATTACAATGTGAGATCTATCTAATTTAGAACGAATATAACCTCAGGAAATCACATAAAGAATTTCGTTAATCAATTATGATAGAAGATGATAACAACATTTTTTCTTATTATGTTTCACATACTTAGGGGCCGTTTGATAATGACTGAAATGACAGAACTGAATGACTTACGTTTCATGATCTCCTTAATAACTTATTCAGTAAAAGATAAAGCAATAAACCCTTTAGTTCAGTTACTTCATCCATGATCAAACGGTTTCTAATGTAAACAATATGCAAATCTAAACTCTGAAAGAAAAAAATATTTGAAAAAGTTTACCAGCTCAGTTGGTTGGAGCCTTATGTTATTAAGACTGTAGTAGGCCTGGACTTTCCTGTCGTGGACTCTAAACATTGTAGTACAACCTACAATATGGTAAATTATCTAGTTGAGGTGCACCTGGCCTCAGGTGAGGTATACCCCATAAAATGAGCTTTGGTTGTGAGGCACACCTTTTAAATACTGATAGAGGGTACTGAAGAGCAAATCTGCACTATTAAGAGGGAAGCCTTGGAACATTTTTTTTTTTTAATTAGTTCTTATACTTAGGGAATTCTTCAATTTTAGAACAGCTGTTACTGATGTGCCTTGCAAGGTTGGATTCTCTCTCTCTCTCTCTCTGCCCCCCTTGATCCGTATATATGTTCTGGGATTAAAATATTGATACGATATACACGGGTGTATTGTATCAGTATCGGTAATATCGGATATGGGATACGCTACGACTGGTACGATACACATCCAGTCGTGCGTATCGACAAGATACAAATCAGTATTGGTGTGTATCGCACTGTATCGACCGATATAGACCGATATGTTTCGACTTTCGATACACTAATATGCGCGCATCTCTTGTCTTGTTTATAAAATGCTCACATGAAGATTCAAACTCAAGTCTTGGCACCCATGCCACTTCGCGCTACCATTCTATGCCACTATGCCATCATTCAACTTGTGATATTAAGTGAAATAAAATACACTTTATTAACTTTACCATTAACATGAACCTAGACAAATACATATATGTTTATGTTCAATAATTCTAACTTAAAATAAAAAATAATATTAAAAATTATTTTTTTATAAACATTAATGAAGTAAACAGTCTATCAAATTTACATTTATATCAAAAATTATTTTTTACTCAATAAATTTATACAAATAAAAATATTAATAATAGATAATTATTTTAGTTCTTAAAAATTTCATAAATTTGTACATTTTATGTATCTTCACATTTTAATATTTGTTTGTAAATTATTTATTGATATTTTAATTTAGATTAAAATATAATATATTTATTATTTACAAAAATAAAAAAATTGTTTACAAAATATTCAAGAATATAATATTAAATTGAATTTATCAAATCCACTAATTTAAATTTATATAAAAAAAGATTTGTTATTTCAGAAAAAAACTAAAGAAAATAAAAGTGTTAACAATGGACTCACTACTTTATTAATTAAAAATTATGAATTTCATATGATATGTATCTTAGAAATTTTAATAATTTTGATATACTTTTAGTTAAGATTAAAAGTAAAAATATGATAATAATATATGTATCTTAGAAAAATTATAAATTTCATATGATAGTAATTTTGATATTATCAAATATTTCAAAATTTAATATTTAATTGGCTTTTTTGTTAATGTTGAAAAGAAAAAATAGAAAATAATTGCTATAGTAATTAAAATATAATAATTGCATTTGTTTTGTGTCTTGGACTTATAGAACTTAACATGATAATGGTTTTGTGCACGTTTTACTTTGTAAAATCTATATAATATAAGTCTTGGACTCTTGATTGTTGGATTATCAACAAAATTGTATGACATTTATGTATCTTGTTATATTAGTAATATATTTCTTTATGTATTTATGCTTTATTTGTGGCTATTTTGACTTTTAAAATTAGTGTAATTGATGTATTTACAAAATTTGTATCATTTTCCTAGTGTATCCATGTGTTTTCTTATCTTTCGTCCGTATCCATGCGTTTTCAAAGCGTATCCGTATCCAAACAGTACGATACGATACCTGATACCGATACTTTGATCCTTGTATATGTTTGGAGGGCTTTTTTACTGATTTATTTAGTTTGTTTAAGATTGTTGATATTGGATATTTTATCTCTTGAATGTTTCTTCTATATATACAGTAACCAGCCTTATTTGGGGAACTTTAAATTGGAACAATACCAAGCATTTTCTTATTTTTATGCTATTTGTTGCCCACTCATTTTAAAATTCTATTTTTATTCTTTTTGAGCAATAAATTAGAACTTGAATGATTTTGGATTGGGTAAGAATTGTCCTTAATACCTGTCTTTAACTCCAGATATCTGTTCATGACATTTTGTAGGTTCGAGCAAAACACAAAGAAGTCTGTCTTCATAAAGACAGTCCTCTGGGAGAAACAATTCTTGAATGTTACAACTGTGGTTGCCGAAATGTGTTCCTTCTTGGATTTATTTCTGCGAAGACAGAGAGTGTTGTTGTTCTTCTTTGTAGAGAACCTTGTTTGAGTGTTAATGCATTGAAGGACATGAACTGGGATTTGAGCCAGTGGTGTCCACTTATTGATGATAGGTGTTTCTTGCAGTGGCTTGTTAAGGTTGTTTTTATTTTTGTTGGATTTTTCCCATCCTTTTTTGTGAGCAAGGTTACTTGTGCAAGTTTTTCCTGCTTTGGCTTATTAGATGCATTTTACAGGTCCCATCTGAACAGGAACAGTTAAGAGCACGCCAAATTAGTGCTCAACAGATAAATAAGGTGGAGGAGCTTTGGAAAACTAATCCTGATGCCACCTTAGAAGATCTTGAGAAGCCTGGAGTGGATGATGAACCTCAATCCGTGGCCTTGAAGTATGAGGATGCATATCAGGTGCCTGAGTTTACATTAGGAAGTTGTGGTGTTCGATTAAAACTAAGAGTTTTCAGTAATTTATTCTCAATTTGCTAAGCTGCTAAGGCAGGGATGACCTTTCTTCTTCTCAGGTTATGTCTAATGATGAATTTTCCTTTGCAGTATCAAAATGTATTTGCACCACTTGTGAAGCTTGAAGCTGATTATGATAAAGTATGTATAGCCCCATTTTTGTTGTAGTCAAGCATTTTTTTAACTTCAAGATTTGGATGTTGATGCATCTTATTTGGAGTTCTATCCTGTCTTCCTCTTTGACTCTGTTAAAGTTTATCTTTTTTTTTTCCCGCTTTTTATTTAAATAAAACCAAATGCTGACTATGACTGGAGTTTTGCTTTTTAGACATTTTGCTTCCATCAACAACTGTATATGAGACTCCAATCATTAGATTAGGTTGAAGTTTTTTCTCATTACTGCAGTTTTGCTACAGATGATGAAAGAATCACAGAGTAAAGACAATGTCACAATACGTTGGGATATTGGTCTTAACAAGAAACGCATTGCATACTTTGTTTTTCCAAAGGTAGTCAAATGCCCATCTTATGGCTATTTGTCAGTTGCAACTTCTATTGTGCTACATTTTTTACATTCTCTATTATATTTTCTTATCAGGTTTATCTTTCACTTGTTTAATTTTCCTTTCTTTTCGCTGGAGCTCAAGTAAGTTTTATGATGTTATAGGAAGATAATGAGCTGCGGCTTGTACCTGGTGATGAGTTGCGGCTTCGTTATTCAGGTGATGCAGCTCATCCAGCATGGCAGTCGGTGGGGCATGTGGTATGCTATTAATCTTTCCCCACCCTATTATAAGTTTTATATTTCATGATATCGGATTTATAAATGATCGTAACATTTTATCTATCTCTTTATTTTCTTAGAAGTTATAGTGCACTCTCCTGTAGGTGCTCATTGTATAATATTTTGGTTCTGTTTCAGATCAAGCTGACTGCACAAGAAGAGGTTGCTCTTGAGCTCCGTGCTAGCCAGGTATGATCAACTTTTATACCTTATATTGGTCAATAGAAATTTGTTGAAGGGGCAAAAAATGCTAAAAAGTGTGAGGATGAAATCTTGCAAAAGAAGCGACTACATTTTCTTGGGAACCCTTTTATAGCATCTGGACAACCACTGAAACGAGTTATTCATAATCTGAGCCACATTCATTCTTACATTTATATTGTATCTATTGGTAAAGTTGATTTTAATGTTGCGTTTTAGTTTTTACTAAATTTTCATGGGTTCAAGTTTCATACAAGTTATTTTCAATTTTGTTCATAACATATAATATCAATGTTATTTTTATTTTATTATATTAATATATAATTTTTTGATAGTTTTTAGTTTAATTTATTGAAACCATTCAATATCTTATTGCAATCCAAATCTGTCATAAATCTAATGGATAAGATCCTAATCCTATTCAAATTTGAATATAAACGAATCATGTTTGGATCTGCCTACGTCCAATCCCTTCTGATCTATTTATAGCTCTACCAAAACTGTCCATCATGGTGTCTGCTTTGTTAGGACTCTTCAAAAGGTTCCTAGGCCTACAAATTTGATCCAAATAGCCACTAGGGTTAGAACTTTTTTTTTTTTTTCCGATTTCTTTCTTGACTGCTTCATAGATACCAAGTAATCATCGTTAATGTTGTGTGAAGGGCGTTCCTGTTGATGTGAACCATGGTTTCAGTGTTGATTTTGTTTGGAAGAGTACCAGCTTTGATCGGATGCAGGGTGCAATGAAAACTTTTGCAGTGGATGAAACAAGTGTCAGTGGGTATGTACTTACTACTTAGTCATCTAATTCCATTTAATTGCTGGGGAGTGCTGTGCCCCCTTGAATTCTTTGTTAAGTGTTTGTTTTTACTCACTGTGATTCTCTCAAGTTAAGCCATGTTCTTGTAAGCTAGTTCTCTGCTTTTTTTGTGAACTTCTGACTGAAACCCAGCATAAGGGTAGCATTTTTATTCATTTTGGGAAAAAAATTATTGACTTGAAAGACGTATATTTTTTTGACAAGTTATGGTCAAACAGAACTTTTATTAATAATAGAAGAATGTATGCTTAGCTGCAGTTAGCTAGCAAGTCCCAAAGCACAGCCATGAAAACTGAAATTGATAGCTCTATATTACTATTGTCTGCCTGTTAGACCAGTCCCCTGGTACAGTTCAGTCCTATCTGTCCCTTCTTGCGCAAGAGAGTCATCATGGAGTTTGCACTCCTAGGGGTCAAATCCCCTTCCACTTTAAGTTCCATATATCCCAATGATGCAGCCAATTTAAGCTCTTCTGTGACAGGCAATTAAAACATAGCTACCTGGTACAGAAAAACCTAATAAATTCCTTCCAACTCCCATAGCCCGAGTATACAATGTGAGTTGATTGAACTAGGTCCCTGCTTGATTGAGATCATTCTGAATGTTAAGTCTCTTGCTCCTGATATTGTGCCTCAGACTCCTTGGGCCAACAGAATTGTCCCTAATTACTTGAGAGTCTCTACTAGGGCTGGATGAAACTCTAATAGCACCTAAATACTAAAAAGGGCCAATTTACAATAGAGTAAATTCCATAATTAGATAGATTGCAAGGTGTTTTTTTTTTTTTTTTTTGTGTGTGTGTGTGTGTGTGTGAGCAACTGCTCTCTCCATGTATGTGTGCCTTTCTCTCAAATCTCTCTCTCTTTACATCAGTTTGTTATTATCAATACTGATCTTGATTACAAGATTGGAAGGAAGTCAAACAAATTTCTGGATTCTGTATATTTATTGTGGCTACAAGCAATGGCATTACTGATTTTTGAATTTTGATGGGGCTTGCTGTTTGCTGCCTAGAATGTTAGGACATTTATTTTGCTCTGATGTAGAAGTGTAGAACCTGATCACAAAATGATGAAAGATATTGTATTTATCCTCTTTTTGAATGCTACTCTTTTTATTTTTGTGATCAGGCTTAGGTCCAATGCAAACTTTGTTTTTTGAACTTGTATTTCATTCAAGCCTCCCAGTGATTGGTTTTTAGAGTTCAGATGTGCTTGGAAACTGAACGTATTTCTCTAGAAACGTACTAATTTAATCCTTTACACAGATACATATACCATCACTTGCTAGGACATGAAGTTGAGGCTCAGGTGGTTCGTAATACACTACCTCGTCGTTTTGGTGCACCAGGCCTTCCAGAACTTAATGCATCACAGGTATGCCTGCTTGGCTATATGGTCAGATCTTTTATTTGTTATAAGTTTTGCATTTAGTCAGATATGTTCTTTGTTTAGGTGATGTAGGGTTTGTAGGATGAAATGTGGTAACTATACCTATGCCAATCGATTTAATAAGGTTTAAGAATTACTGATAAAAAGGTAATTTGGGTGATTAATGATGACAAGTATAGGTGGAGATTTCTGTCTACCAAAGAATGAGCAAGAGATTTAATAAAGAGAGCTTGCTATTAAAGTAACAGCAAAGAGCAAAGGGATTGGCCACTTAGAAGAAGAAATAAGAGTGAAAGAGGAATAAAAAGGAGAATAACTAACAACAACCAGAATTCCTTAAACCAAACTTTTATTCAATCAAATAAATTCTTCTAAATTGCAATTACAGTCACTCTAGTTCTATATTTAACATAAGACATTGGATCTCCATTTATAGAATCCAATTTGGACTAAGACTTATAACAAGAGTTTCTTGATATTAATAGAGAAGGAGGTAGGAAAGCCTAGTGAAGGGAGAGGACCAAAAGAGAAAACATGCAAATGTGAAAGAGAGGGTTCATTTACATGTCAGTCCCATCAATTTAACTCACCATGTTAATAACTTTTATCTACTAGGCTTACTAAGACACACTTGTAGTTTTACCAAGACACATTGAGAAACTCTTTGGAACCTTTGTACTTTCAGTTTTTGGGTAAAATAATTTGGGAATGCTTCTTACATACAACTATTGGGGGATTTGAGAAGAAGGAAATACCAAATTCAGAAACTGAGCATGTTACAGTAACCTTTTGATGAATACCTGCAGCACCAGTTGTTGCAGAAAAGATCTTAAATAGCCAAATTTCCACTAAATTATTACTCATAAAAAAAATCTATTAAAGTACCAACAACAATACAACGGGGGTCAAATGTTTTCGGAGTCCACCAATAGGGACCAGCAGAACTTTTTATCCATCAACAAAATAGAGGGGTAATATGTGGCAGGGAGTTTAACTCCCTCATGTAACTTTGATGTGCTTGGCACAGTCTATCTTGTAAATGTCTACTATTCTTTTTCAACAAATTGATACATATATTTTTTCCAGTTATCCATCAGAAAAAGGAAAAAAAAAACAACTGATCATTTGTTCCCTGCCACTAGAATAGAACGAATTTGCAATCAAATCATAAAACCAATATACAGACCAAAAGATGTTACACTATAAGGGCCCCCAACTCCTATGACTAAGAATGCAAGATGTTACACTAGTTACTTGAAGTAATTCAACTTGGAGATAGATACACATGTTAAGATTTCCACATGCTTGAATTGTTGAGTGCTTGAAGCACTTTGGTAAAATCTACTTTTGTTTCCTAGGGAGCAGAACACTGTTGCAGACAGCCTTGCAAAATCAGGGGTTTTTAGGGAAAGCTTGTATAGTGACTTCTGCTTATGTCTATACTTCTGCCTCATCTGCTTTAGCTTTCAGTACATTCACTCATGTACTTCTTCCTGTTTTAATTCAATAAAAGTTACCTTTGCTAAAAAAAATTGTATGTTATGCGTCTCTATTTTCATTTGGGATCATCATATCATCATCATTATCTAAGCCTTGCCATTCTATTCTCTTCAATGCCATATGCTTCATTAAATTATGGGATTTAAGTCATTTCTTATTACTTCTAATCAAGTCCTTTTCGGTTTGCCTCTGGATTGTCTAGCCCCTTCAACCCGTAGCAGATCACTTTTCCTAACAAGTGCTGTAGATGGTCTTCATATGCACGTTACCAAACCATTTGAGTCTATTCTCTCTTTTTATCACGTATTGATGTATAATGTATTATGATTTGAGCTAATGAGCTTTTTAAAGCTTGGCTTTCTATGTTTATGTAGAAATGCATTAATGTTTATTTATTTGTTGATTCTTTTTTTTTAAAGAATCTGTGCCTTGCTTCATCCTAGCTTGCCCTTGCACCATGCCTGTAGGGAGCTTGTAGGCCCTTGTGCTTTTGTTATGCCTCTAGTCTTTTCTGATTTCTTTTTCCTTTCTAGATATTAATACAACTTTTATAGTTAATATTCTAAAAGAAGTCATTAACACTTGATTCTATACCACATAAATCCTTAATATGATATTATCACAATCCAAGGCCCATTTCATTATTGAAGGAGCCTAAGTCATTATTTTTAATGTCAACATTAAATAGTTTTCATATGATGTTTCTTACATTCAAACTTTAAGCATCTTCCACATTGTATGCTTGATATGTTACTATTTGTCCATGTATAATTTCATATATATTTATGGTAGCACTGCCTTCATTTTGCATCTTCTGTCATGTGTGCTCTGCCCTGCATGGACACACATTTATTACCTTTCATGGGCAAATGTTTTATTTTTTCTTCCCTCCTGTACAAATGTTTTTGGTTCTCTTTTACTGTCTATTTCTATATTTAATCCAGATGTCCTATTTTTGGATTGGCAAGGAACATTTTATTAAATGATGAACTTAAAATATAGTACAACCATGTTGGAGTATCCAACAGCCCAAGCTTACAATAAGAATCACACTTTAGTCCAGAACAAGTTTTGTCTACTAACCCTTGTTTTTCTAGTGAATCTGCTATCCCATTTGTAGTTCTTCTAACCTAGTTAAAATTAAAATTGATAATCAGCTCCTTTGTTAAGGATTTTACCTCCTTAAAGGCATGCCTACAGACCCTAGGAGCTGGGTTGCTACACCTTGTCCAAGAAATAACCAGTTTTGAATCTCCTACTTCCAACTGTTGGAAGCCAAATTGCTTTGCTAATCTCAGTTCTTGCGACAATGCCAAAGTTTCAGTTCTTAGTGAGTCTCCAACTCCAATCGGTCCTGAGTACATTGCCTCCACTTTACCTGAAGAATCTCTGAACACCCCCTATTCCCGCCAATCCCTGATTGCCGAAGGAACTTCCATCAAAATTCAGTTTTATTTTGTTATATAGTGGAGGTTTCGGTTCCATGATCACCCTGTCCTTTATTCTTATGTCCTGTTTTAAAATGTTCTTTTGAAAGGTACTTATGTTCTTCATGTATGTGCAGGTTTTTGCTGTAAAGAGTGTACTGCAGAAACCGATTAGTTTAATACAAGGGCCTCCTGGCACAGGGAAAACTGTAACCTCTGCAGCCATTGTGTATCACATGGCCAAACAAGGCCAAGGGCAGGTAACTAAGCTCAACTTGCATATCTTCTGTATTTGTTGAATTTAATGTTCTAATTGATGATTTAATTATTTATTTATTCTCATCCAGGTTTTGGTTTGTGCTCCAAGTAATGTTGCTGTTGACCAACTTGCTGAAAAGATCAGTGCAACTGGTTTAAAGGTAAAAGTAATCATATGGTCATCTTTGAAAATTTTGATTGAAACAGTGATATGGATTGTTACGGCAAACTTGCTTATTGAACTGGATTGGATTGATGACATGAGATTTTGCTATAAACATGATAATACAAGTAGTATATAGCTAAGGAAGCATTATCTTGGCAACTTCACCCCCTTCATTTGGATCAAATCCATGAGGTTGATTTCTCCTTTTCTTTATTTGACCTCTTGTATGCTTACAATTCTTGTGACCTTAAAAAGAAGAGCTTTGGTGGATTATATATTTCCCATCATGCTTACAACTTATGCCCTTGTGAGGGAGAATCAGCTGATCATTTACTCCTCCACTACCAGGAGATGAAGATATTTGGCATCACTTTCTCAAGCTAAGTGGTTACAGTTGGGTTGCTTCAGAACATATTATGGACTTTCTACAACAGTGGGAAGGCAGAGGCCTTAGTAGACGAGATGAGGTTTACTGGAAAACTGATGAGTTACTGCTCACCTCGGAAGCCCCTTCGAGGGTGGCTTAACCTCCTGAAACAGAAGATGGGGGAAGAGAGGGGAAAGGTAGGAAGAAAATGACTCAGAGAGAGATGAAAGGGATATTCATTCACACCACTTATTACATGATCAGGGCCTTATATAGCTGGCCTACATGTATGCAATCATGGAGAGAATATCTTCTGGTGGCAGTGTAACTAACTCTGGAAGGCTCTGTCGCGTGTCACGCTAGCCTCTCTGTCTTATAGTGAAATGCTGTTCGGTGGTGGCCTCCTCCACTCCTATAGTTGGGTTCGGAGGGAGTGTTTGGGTCCCAACATCAGTCTGCGGGTGATAACTCGTGGAGGGGTGCAGTTGGGTTCCTTGCAACCGAAAATATTCCTTCCAGAATGAACTCAGGAAAGCAGGGTCCCAGTTTGAGACAATGGATCTTGGGGTTCCATGCAGCTTGGCGACATCTCGGATGAAGATGTAAGCCACCATTGCTGCGGTGTAAGGGTGAGGTAATGTAGAGAAATGGCTGTACTTGGTGAGACGGTCAACCACTACCGTGATAACTTTCTTTCCTGCAGAACGAGGAAGACCCATGATGAAATCCATGGAAAGGTTTTTCCACACTTGATTTGGAATCTTGAGGGGTTGTAGAAGGCCAGCGAGAGACTATAACGAGTATTTCTGCTGTTGGAAGGTTTGGCATTCGGATACATAGTGCAATACATCCTTACGCATTCCTACCCAATGATAGTGGTTGTTGAGCCTCTTTAGGGTACGTAGCACCCTTGAGTGCCCTCCCAAGGCGGAGTCATGAAACAACCTTAGCGGTTCAGCTTTGTGGGCTGAATTCTGGGCAACAACAAACCGACCCCTAAAGAAAAGATCAGGCCCTACAACTTGGTAACCAGCAACTTGTGAAGGGTCTCGCCCCCACTTATCTTTAATGACCTGCAACTACGGATCAGATCTGGCTTCTTGCCGTATAGATTCAAACAAAGGGAAGATGGGCTGAGAGCAGGTCAAATGGGCTAACTCTTCTACTCCTGATAAGGCATCAACTACTCTGTTTGCGGGCCCCAACTTATATTCTATGAGGTAGTCAAGGCCCATCAGTTTACTAAGCCAGTTTTCTTGCGAGAGTCTAGAGATTTATTGGAGCTCTTAAATGTTATTTGCTTTGGATTCTGAGGGATCTAAACTCAATAGCAGATGGATTAGCAAAGTTTGGTGCTCTTTTAGATGTTTTGTTTAGTGATAGGCTGCTACCTGTGCAATGTCTTCGGTTTCCCCTAGTCCTTTTGTATATCTTCTTGTGTGCCCCTGTTTTTTTTTGATGAATGAATAAGTAGTTTTATTAAAGAGAACAAAAAAGAGTACAATCAACCTTGGAGGAGGCACAAGATGCTACCTCCCCTTTAGGGTGAGTACAGACCTGAATCTTAAGAAAAACAGAACAGAACTATAGATTAGCCCAATACAAAGAAGCTTGAGGAACCCCTTGTTTAGCCAGAGTCTGCCAAAGCATTTACTGATCTGCTAATCCACTGGAAGTTGGCTGATACATCCCTTGTGATCCATTTTACTTTTTTCAGGAGACCTCTGTAGCCCGAAACAACACTGTTTGGATTCAGCAGCCAACCCACTACCACCTTGGAGTCTCCTTCTACTAGTAGGTTCTGCACCCCAAGTTGGTTAGCAAGTTGTAGGCCTTGTACAGCTGCTAGCATTTAAGCCCTAGGTGAATCTCCTACTCCAACTGGACCTGAGAATAAAGAGAAAATGTTGCTGTCCTTGTCCCTCAAAACCCCTCCAATGCCTGAGGGCCCTGGGTTGCCTTGGCTGCTACCATCAAAGTTCAGCTTCACGACCCCTTCTGGAGGAGGTGTCCACCTTACTTGTGTCCTATTCTTTTTAGAGACTACAGGTGGCCAGCTTTCTCTAATGAGTAAAAAAAAGTTTTTTTGCTTGTATTTCACCCTATGATGCTAGTGAGAAAAAAAGAACACCTCTATCTGTCATATCCTACCAGATCATCACATAGCCAACTCACCCTCGCTTCTGCTTAATACACTAGTGCTAGTGAGAAGAACACCACCCTCTCTTTATACCCTATTTTTCTTGATGAATGATAATAAATTTATTAATTTAGAAGCAGATTTAGAGTGAGTTCATACAACATCCCAGGGAGAAGTGCGAGCTGCAGCCTCTCCTTGAATCTTACAAGTAAACTAGGAAAGAAAAGCAAGAATCACAACTGAGCCCAAAACAATTCTTCCCTATTTACCCCTTGCTTTAGCTAACGGATCTGACAAAGTATTTGCTGATCTCCCCACCCACTGTACAGTGACCAACATATTCCTTCTCAACCAACTAAATTTCTTCATTTCATTCTTGTAACGCCATATAGCCTCTTCAGGATTTTTCAACCAACCCACCACCACTTTGGAATCCCCCTCATTGTTAGGTGTTGTACCCCCAACTGGTTTGCAAATTGCACTCCTTGTACATCAGCTAAAAGTTCTGCCCTGATGGAGTCCCCAATTACCAAGGGACCTGAGTAGAGCAACAAAATCTCTCCCTTCTCGTTTCTCAAAGCACCCCCCATTTCGGATAATCCTGGATTACCCATGCTACTTCCATCAAAGTTAAACTTCAGCTTCGGATGGAGGAGACCATCTTGTAATTGATTTGTCTTTTAGGGATGAACATCTCGCTACTGTTGACTAATTTCTCCAAAGGTCATTAAAGTAGAATTGATGAAAGATTTCCAAGGTCTTCAGCCAAGGTATTGCCTTATTTAACACACAGTCTTTCAATTCTTGATTGCTCATTTCCTTTTCTTGAAAAATTCTAACATTCCTTTCTTCCCAAAGAGTCCAAATCAAGGCGGCACGAGCACATCTCCACATAATTCTCCCTATTTTTTTAGGCCAATAAAAGGTAGAATGGTTGAAGAGCATGTGAACTTTTGCTGGTAGACTCCAACTACTCCCAAACAACGAAAGTAGCCAAGCCCWAAGGTYTGCAGAAARGGGACAAGATATTAATAGGTGGTAACAATCCTCACCGTGAGCTCTACAGAGGATACACCAATTAGGAGAAATACAGAGGAAA